CACAAAACCTGATTCAGAAGAATTTACAGGGGATGATTGGTTAGAACTATGGGTTTCAAGAATAATTCTATGTTAACATTCTCAATTTCTAGGTAAATGGGAAATCGACCCTAGTGAACTTACATTGGGAGACTTACTGGGTGCAGGTTGTTTTGGAGTAAGTATTGGTTTGTGTATTGATAAAACAATTATTTGGTTAGGATCAGTTTAGTTCAAGGATATAGTTATCAAGATATTTGCTTGGTCAGCTGATAAAGCATCCATATGACTTTCAAGAATCAAATTCTAATACTGAGTCCCTGTTTATTGAAAACGTTAGTTACAGTTTGCAATAGTCAACTTTTATCAGTGTGTAAATAAGTTTTCTAAACTCTTTTGTGTAGCCATTTATGTCTCTTGCGACATTCCAGTTTTTCCCTCAGAGGTGTTTTGGTCCCTGTTAGTATAGAAGTACTTATATGAAGTCACTATTTGACTGATAGTGATGTCTTAAAATACAAATGAATTCGGGGACCCACAGAAATCTGAGAGAAAATCAGAATGGTACAAATCAAAGCTACAAGTGTGTCTGGTACACATTTAAACTTTTAAAACAAGATATTTATAATCTCTTTAACAAATATTTATTTGATTTATTTTAGAGTGTATACCAAGGTAAATTGAAAGGTAAAGCTGTTGCAGTGAAAACATTAAAAGAAATGGCAATGTCTGAAAATAGCTTTATTGAAGAGGCCAAAACTATGACGTATGTTGTTTTGTTTTATATTTTGTCAGTTTTAATACATAACTAACATCAAATTACTGAACCTGTAGACCAACATCTGATAAAATATGTCCCTTCAATTATTAAGTTTTATCAAAGATTTAATTGAAAGTAAAAAATTGTTCTTATTTTAACGTTAATGTTTTTTGGTCGGTTGGTGTTGGTTTTAGCAAGGGCCAAATTGTAGAGTAGAGTAAAGTAAAATCCTTACTCTTAATTATTGATAACCTCAATCAGTCTTCCTGATATAGTGTGAATTTCAGCTTTCTTTCAAATCTTCAATGTTTTAGTCAACTAAGTCATCCTAATTTAGTACAGTTATATGGTATAGTTACAGAGAAAAAACCATTAATGATAGTCACTGAATTAATGAGATATGGTTTGTATAATATTAACATATTTTATTGAAATTTATAGCCTCTTTATAATTGTCATTTGCTTTGAACTGCATTTAAACAAATTTACCGAAGGAATATTAAGTATTACTCCCACTATTTTTTTGTGTGGAAAAATTCAAAAATCGGTGCATTTGTGGTCAATGAGAAAGTATTACCCTTTGGTTCTTGTTATTTTAAGCTTCTATTTCAAGATACTTGAAAATTTGTTTTGCAGTACATGAAAAGAAAATGGATTCTATGCACCACAAGTTAACGATGACACTTTTCGTTTCAGGATTATTTATATAGTTTGAAAATTAAGACCATAACATTTATACCTCATATTTATGGATATATTACACATCTTTTCATAAAAAATTAAACACGTTTAAAAAGCAGTTTTTGAAATGTCAAAAGAAAAATGAAATGTGATTATTGTCTGGGCCTTCCAATATATAAGTCATTCACAGTTATATTTTTTTTTTTATTATATAGGAGCTCTAATAACCTATTTAAAGAGGCATTCTGAGATATTAAACAAGCCAGCAGACATGTTAGATTATTGTGTTCAAATCTGTTCTGGTATGGTCTACCTGGAACAAAGAAAGTTTATACATCGAGATTTAGCGGCTAGAAATTGTCTGGTGGGTGAAAATAAAGTTGTCAAAGTGGCAGATTTTGGACTCACAAGGTCTGTATATTTGTATTAGTTTTTATACGCCCACATGATGAGAATCTTGTCTGATTTTAGAGCTGTAGGATGTCATTATGCTAGAT